GGAAAACCATGTTACTTATGATTGTCAAACTTTCAAAAAAGAAACACGGGACTAAAATGCAGCCTGAGTTGGAAAAGCAGTCTAATTGGCTTCTTTTTCTGGAAGTTATACATTTTAGTGAAATATTCATTTTTATTGTGTTGGCATATTCATTGTGGGACTCAGAGCTCCCATGGACATGAAGCCGAATGGTAATCAAATTTTCTACATGTCCATGCTATTTATAGTCAACAATCAAAAATTGGTGATAATTATTCTGTAATTTATTATGTAATGTTACATCAAAATTGACAAAATTCTTTTTGCACTGCTACTACAAACATTATGAAAAGAAAACTGTGTTATTATTACATTTTAACTTACAAGTATGATTTTTAGGATTGGCATGCAGTTCAAATTAGAAAGCCAGCTAAATTGGGTTATCATTTATTATTGAATTTATGCAACTTTGTGTGAAATTTTTTTTCTCATTCTGGTATTTTCAAAATGTGAACTTGAACTTCCATGGGCCTGAAGCTTTATGCTTGTTACACATTTTACTTAATTTGGTATTACCTGTTGAGCATAATTAAAATTTGATGTTGAATTTTAATTATGCTCAACATCAAATTTTAACTATGCTAAACAGGTAATTAAAATTCAACATCAAATTTTAATTATGCTCAACAAGTAATTAAAATTTGATGTTGAATTTGCAGTTAAGCATAATGTACTTTTGCATCAGAATCGACAGTAGCCTATTTTTGTGCATTGTTATTTTCTGCTTTTTGTCTGTACATTTGACAGCTTTGCTGCCTTGTTGTTAAAACAAAGAGCACAGCAACGGCAAGGTCAACAGATGCAGGTGATGGCATTATGTGTTTGTACATATAAAGCCCACCCTCCTCCCCTTTTCTGTTCCAATACTTTTACAGCGCCTCTCCCATTTACTTGCATCATACTACTGTCCAAACCCATCCCAACCTGTCAACAAAATAACCAAAATAACAGTTGGGTGGATATATTTTATTTCTAATCCATTCATACTAAGGCATATGTAAACACTAAATAAATTATTAAAATATATCAAATTGCACTACAAATGCCATTCATTTCACTTACACTTCTACTTTGTGTAAGACCATTCATTCATCCCAACACATGCTCTGATAATAATATAGTAATATAATTACAATAGGGGACATTCTATTTTAACTGTTTTTGCTAATAAATCAACAAGAGGTTATATACCATTGTCCCTGTTTATAACAATGATGTTTCCTTTTACTTTTTCTTTAATTAAAGTCTTCAATATCTCAAGTGTGGGCTGGAGGGTTTCTGTACACTTTTGAGTAGATCAGGATAAAGACTCAAACCTAATTAGAGTAGATTTTATCACATCTGTTTAATATAAATTGGTTAATGAACAAGTTAAAACTTAGCAAAATCTGGATAAAAGTCATGAAGCACCATAAACTTTCTAATGCAGCAGTCTTGTTCACCATTTATGTTGGTTTGCCTTTACATCCTGTGACATTTCACTACATCATGAACAAGAGATATAAATGAAACTTATTTGAAAATCTTTACAATCATTTTTCATGGTCTCGGAGAGAAATCTGTACAGCATTGTGAGTGGCAAAACAGTATATAATTACTGCCAAAACAGCCCAAAGATGTTATCTAATTTATTGCACAAAAATTCTGCAGTATTTTCAGCTATCCAATCATTACATACATACATTATTTTGCAGTCTGCATTTGTCCTACCTTAACTAACTGCTCATATAATATTTAAATAAATAAATAAACTCCAAGGACTTAAGTTTTAACAAAAGAACTTAATTTTCATCATCCAATTTAGGTCCCTTAATTTCTGTCCATAATCTAAGCATCACCAGTTTTGATGAGACTAGTCTTAATATATATAAACAATGCTGATATCACAGTATTAGCCATACACTTTTAACTTTAAACAATGAAAGACAATTCACAAACCACAAAACCTTTTCTTTAAAACTAAGAGTGAGTGCCATTTTGGAATAACATATAACAAACCAGTTGCTCATAGTATGAAACTGTGTATTATATTCAGCAATATGTATTGCTAAATTCTAATTAAAAAACAAGAAAAAAAAAAAGAAAAGAAAAAAAGGAACAGATATGACAAGTGCCTATCACACCGTCTTCTAAGCTTCCAAAACCATCCTACGCCTTTACCTTGCATGGGTCATACAAATATCTAGTCACAAGTTTACCTTTTTTCTGTCAGAGACCACATAATGCGCACACTTCAGTTAAAATAGTTGAAGAAAAGCAAGTGCTGACTGCAATCAAGTGACAATGCACATGGCATGTAGCCCAAAGAAAAAGGTTTCTATCTGTTTTGTGAGTAATGGGGAGTATGACACAAGAAAAAAAATTACCTGCTGGAAAGAATGCCTTAGTGAGACTGATGGAGAGTAAGTCAAATTAAGTAACTGCATTCTAATCAGTTTTAAGAGAAACACCTTTTCATAACTCACTGAAGTTGATATTGAATTGCCATTCAAAAAAGATCATGCAATCCCTTTTTAGTCCGTAGCTTACTTTGCCAGCAAAATAAACAGTAGGTGGGTTTTAAAGAAGGGATTGTAATAAGGGAACCACTTCCTGTAGTCATGACTAAGACATTGTTAAAACAGATATAAACCTAGCTTCAGAGTAGTTCAGACTGCTTTTTTTCGTGACAAAATATGATCGCTGCTGATGTAACTGACATATAACACCTGACAATAATACAGCCATCTTCTATCATGCACACAACAATGGTCTGGACCAAGCTTGACATGGAAGCTGTACACAGGATGCAACCTTTCTCTTGTGTCATGGAAGAACAAAGCAGGGACAGATACATATCCAGAGATACCGATTAACAGTCTCATAAATTCTTATATTACAGGCCATTCCCGGCCACACAGTTAACATATCTAAACAATCACAATGACTCTGTTTCCGAGAGATCTTAACCTGGAGAAAAAAAATTTCAAGCCTCTTCAGTCTCTGTATGTAGCTTTCAAGCATCCATACAACAATTAGGGCCGCAATTTGATTTAATTTGTCATCTACATTAATTCCACATGTAGCAAAACATATAATATATAATAGTCCACAGTAAAAGCATGGGCTGTTTCATTTTAACAGGATTTCTCTCTGTCTTCTCTCTGGGAGCCTGTGATAAGTGCCTTACTACTGGACGTGCTCCCATAGCTGGAGTCATCAGTGACGCAAGGGGTGCCTGGGAGAGACAGGGGTTCCACCAGGGCTCCATCATGGACTACCAAAGTCTGGTCTTCATTGTCCTCAAACACATTCTCATCCTGATCTGGTATCACATTCACTGTACTTGACAGTTCCTTCGCGGCCCCCATTGCTGAAAAAAAAAAGAAAAAGAAAAGTGTGAAAAGGAAATGTGCCATTTAGCTGTGACGTGTCATAAAAGTGTCACCTAAGATAGAAATGAATATAATACCATAAAAATTTTTAAATCATTCCTGAGAACCTAAGGGTTAAAAAGACAGGATAAATTTAGTATAATATAATATGATTTTATGAGCATAGGATAAAGATGGAATTGAGATACATGATTAACAACATAAGTACACACATAAACAGAACAATGTGATTTAACAGAACAATGTAATTTTTGAAACGAGCTAATTTTTTTATATGTATTCAAGTAACATTTCAGAGATACACAATGAACTGTAATGGTAAGGACAGACATAAGCATTGAATTACTGGAAAAGGTACTCTTAAAGATGTGTGTTAATCAACCAGATGTTCCCACTAGTGTCACCAGATGGCATAATTGCATCCGTTGGGATTGATCACATTCTTAGGTCTGATGAACTTCCTCCCCATGGGTGAGCGTATGTGAAATATTCATCTATTTTCATCACCTAGAGGATTTCTTTTGGGCTTGTTTGGGACAGTTCTCAATTTCACTTGACTGCGTGACCTAATATGCCACTGCTAAAAAGGCCTTAACAGACACCCAGTACTTGCTCCTCAGTCTTGACAGTCAATTATTTTGATCAAACTACGTCTTGCACCACACTTGTCACAAGATTCTTATCATCTGGCCATGAGACAATTCTATTTATGATAGCATTATGAAAAGAAAGCACTCCAATCATTTCAATTATTTCACACCCTAGAGTCATAAGATACACGAGTATCATAAGCAAATTAGGAAAAAAATACAGCACACATGCAACACAATACAGGCCTGGTCATGAATGTGTTCTGAAGCACTTTAAAGATAATAGAACCTAAAGTCCTTATTTAATTGCACATAGATTCTAGGACAGTGAATCTCAAGGCTCGAACTACAACTACAGTTATATCACATAGGCAGATCTGGCAGGAAGTGGGAGCAATGGAGGGTTTTGGGAGGTGACATAGGGGACATAGGCTAGACATTTAATCTTCCAGTTATGTCCTCTTGAAAACATAAAAATCTCTAAAAGCTAAAGAAGGGGGAGAGGAGATGATCTACATCATCTGTACCTCTCCATGGAAAAAAATGTAATCACCCTCTGATTAGTTCTAAATTATGGAAACATGTTATTCACAATGTCACATTCGATATGGCACATGCAATAAAATGCCACACATCTGAGCTAACTATGGTATCTGTGGCTGACATGATGCCCCATGATAGTTCACAATGGTAATATAATCTAACTGGCTTCGTAACCAAGTCTGTTGTCTTTCTGGATTTGGCAATTGACATAATGCCACATGGCAGTTTTTCATGACCATATTTAATACAGGTAAAGTTGATTCTGACTGTCATACTTAATTTATCATCTTGATTTCAATGTGCGTATATCATATTGATATAAATTTAACAATAAAAGCTTTATGCACAAATTACAGTCCTTTTTCTAAGTAGTATAATCTTTAAATGCATGCATATTATTATTGTCAGTCCAAATCCTACTCCCAATTTCACTGCCAAATGCTAAATAAAAATATAACTTAACAGCCTGAATCAATGCATTTCACATGAAAAACACACTAATGAGAGAGGTAGCTCCTATGGGGGATAAAATGATGCATCATAAGCCACAACATACTTTGCCCTACATTTCATTTTTTATTGTAAGCTATACATTTGCATTCAACCGTGTTCTAAAGTTAACTAATCAGGGGATTATATTCCAAGAAATTCATCATTTACATCACACCTGACAAGTTAAACTATTCCTCAATCCTTGGTGTGAGAAAGCAGTGGTTGAAAGCATTCTATGTTTTTACATATATCATTCCCATGCAAGTACTTGGAATCATCCACAAAAACCTTAAACAGAAGAGAACATATTTCAAATTGTACTTGGAATCATCCACAAAAACTTTAAACAAAAGAGAACATATTTCAGATTGTACTTGGAATCATCCACAAAAACCTTAAACAGAAGAGAACACATTTCAAATTGTACTTGGAATCATCCACAAAAACCTTAAACAGAAGAGAACATATTTCAAATTAAGGCATTGTCAGTTATAATGTGTGTTAGACATGACAGTGTGTTGGATACGCAATTACCTGCTGCTAATAACGAGGCAATGAATCATAGAATGTGACACAAGAGTGTCACTTTTTCAACAGATTTTAACATTAACTTAATAAAAAACCTAATATACATTCCAGCTATTATTCTTAAAATATATTTTGCAGTAAACATTTTGGATATGAAAATCCACCAGTCTCCTAATCTGGTTCCTTTGCCCATTGCAATTAAAGAGGAATGACAAACTAGCTGTCGAAGTCCACATGACACCAATTGACATCCATAAAGGTTTATTTTGTTCTAAGGAGAATAATACTTAACATAAAAAATTGAACATACTGACATGTATCATATAAGCTGTTTCAATATCATTTTTGTGCCAAAGTAAGTGATTACTATAACTAAAACATAAGGAAGTATCATACAGTTAGACAACCTAAAAGTTATATTCATTGAGACAAATTTTAATAGAGCCTAAGTATGCATCATACTGATATTTAATTCTTTTTAAAAACTTGCCCAGATGCTGTGGGGCAAGCATTTAGACTAAATGGTTTATAGGTGGATTAAATGTTATATCTGACCTGTTAACATCTGACTTGATGGCTATATTTACCTGGATTATCTAGTACACAAATATGATTGCTTTTTACATGACTTCAGGTGGTGTTGTAACATTTATCAACGTGACACCTGACTTCATAAAATCCCAAGGCTGCATATCCCAGAATTATTGGTTTGCACACAGAAAACCTTTGGGAAATATTGCAAAGCTATGAAATACTGCTAAAGATAGTGACATAAATCAGTAATTTCTACATCTTTCCAAATATAATGTCCTAGTGAGAGCAACTTCAAAATCAAGATGCATTTGGTCATCATCTTCTATAAATCCTTAAATTTCACTGACCACACAGTTTGCAATGGGAGATGTCCCTGGAGAAACAATATGGACATTTAAGGGCCCATTCTCAATGAAAACATCATTCTACCTAGACCTATCCAAGGACTCTTGCTGAATGCAATCAGATTTACGTAACATGCCTCATTTCCAACATAATCATCAGCTTTTCTGTATTCTACTCACAATTTTAACACACAAATATCCAGCATTCAGGATTAATATGTAAGACTCTTGTCTCTGTGTAAACACAAATAAAATTTTCCATAAAAACAACTTTAACTAGACAGCAAAGCTGACAAATATACAGACACCATACAGGAAACAAGGCAGCAAAGCTGACAAATGTTCAGACGGTCAGATACAGAAAAGAGTGCACCAAATAATGTTTTTGAAAACAACCTGCTTCTTTGCCAAACAAAGCCACTCAGTAAATTTAAAGTAAAACAAAAATATGATTTGGAAGTTAAAAAGATGATGACCCAAACGTTATCAAAAAAAAAAAAAAATAAATAAATAATAATAATAATAATAATTACCATAAATGTAAACAAACAATACAAATTTTGGAAAGCAACCTGTCTCTTTACCAAACAAAGCCGCTGTGTAAATTTGAAGTAAAACAAAAATATGGTATGGCAGTAATGGGATGAACATCTTGTGTCGGACAGTGACAGTGAAGGCACGCACAGACAGACCAATCAGAATATATACAGTCACTAACAATAATAATATAAGCAGACTTTTTCCATGTTCCATATACAGTCTTTATATAAAAATGCACAATTACATGATTTTGTTTTCACATTGCCAACACATCAATGACATTTTCATGCATTTAACTGCTTTTGTCTAAACTAAAAATAAAGTCAATGCATTAGTTTGTGCAATAAAATGTATGATATTGCGGCAGCCAACAGAGTTGAGCAGCATATGTGGTGACCCATAGTAAAATGATTCCCATACCTTACCTCTCACTTGTAATGTGATTATGTCAAAGGGATGGTCTGTAGAATAAAAACAATGGTTTCAAGCATATCAGAGCCTCTGTGAGGTTACACTATCTCTTTCATGCAAGTTCCAAGAATTGTCCCTGTCCTTCTTTCTTTAAAAAAAATTAATTTCTGCAGTTCATTTGAGACCAGGAAACCGCATTACTCTAGCCAATATCTCCTCCCACTTCCTTTTTAACTGCACCCAATACCGACCAACAAACATTAACAACAAAATAACTTCAAAGAGTTTTGTGTAATTCTAGTGGTGAAGGACCTGTCATCTCTCAATTGAGCAAATGGCACCTGCAGACTTCCTTTTCCTGTACTGGTTTCCTTTATCGCTTCAAAACAATGCAGACGACTGACATACATGGGCAATTCAAATGTCAACAAAAGCATTTTACCTTCGTCTTTTGTAAAGGATGACTTATTTTTAATCTAAATGCATTTTTATTAAAATTAAAGTCTGTAGAGATGATTTGGAAACTATTCATTCAACTATTTAGCCAATTACAAAATTCTAAGAAAATTATGCCATGTTTACATTTGTACATTTTGGAAAGTGGCACATTCACTTATAAACTGATAAAGAGGACAGAAAAGTATTTAAATTATAGCACTGCATATACATTTTTCTATCATCACATTGGCCACACTAACTTTTTCATCCATTTCACTTCCTTCATTCTTTTAGTATTGAATAACCATGCAAATTGGATAAAATAAGAAAGATTAACAAACTTTTGAGTCATGTTGATCTTAAAGGTCATACGGATTGGACTGAAATTACCTGACTAAGCCTCTAATGGTTTAGGGCGTGTGACATTTCAACTGAACAAAGAAATTAACTTGTAATCAGCATCAATGTATTTGTGTTCATGAGTCTGTTGGAACTCATGTGGGGTTACTACTTCTAGATGCTTACAAAAGGGCAGAGTCACCCTTGGTTGCCAGCTCTTATTACACCAGCAATAAACAAAATATATTAATTTTCCAACATCTGTAGCTGACTGTTGTTAAAATACATGACCAGCCTAAACAAATCTGCCTTTGTTATAAGATTTAATATTTCATGTTCTTTCCTAAATTAATGCTGTACCTTTAAGAGCTTTCAGTTGCTCTATGACCTTCCTCAGTGCGTGTTACTATGAGCTCTGTAAGGCTGGTACAGCTTAAATTTAGTGTAGAAAATGAAAGGTTCAAGCTTATGACAACATCAACAGCCTACACAGATGAATTTCCATCATATCTGCTTTTGTTTTGCTTTTTTTTCATAACTTAGAATTACAAAATAATATAAGCAGACTTTTTCCATGTACCAGGTCATTTCATCTCCTGCTATTGCAAGTAGAATGATTGAAAAATAAATTGATATTGCAGACACAAATGTCTCTTGGCACTCTGTAACAAAATTATTAAGCAAATGGATAGCACATTGCATTCAGATTCATCACTTTTGCTTATAAATGCATTATGCATATTGAGTCTTGTTTTCCAGTGTGTTGTTATGATGACATGCTATGACAGCTTGGAGTTCCAAGAAACTTATTTCATTTCACACTGAAAACAATTATCACAACAGTGGTTTTCATAGCATATGTACTAATATGATTCAGAGCTGAAATGAGTTCATAGACCAAAAAAACAAACACACGTGCACACACATGTGCATGCACACACATGTGCATGCACATACATATGCATGCACACACACACACCAATTTGCAATCAGATATTTCACGAAGGAGCATTGCTGGTACACTGAAACTGAGGATTTACTTAAGCATTAAAACTTTTACCTTCTTCTGGGTATTCAGTGTCTTCAGGTGTGCTAGCATTAGAATCCTGTGTCTGGGGATTGCTGTTCCCATCTTTCTCCTCACTCTCCTCACCAATAGCTGCTCCCAGGGGAGGACTCTGTGGCTGGAGAAATAGAAAATTATACCCAACTGAGACACCAACACAAATCACACAATTTCTAACTACTGTAAGGTGAGACAAGTATAAGGGGTTAATCATTTTACATGAAGGCACAGTTATAAAAGGAGGATTGAAATAAAAGAAAGATAAATCCTGTCACTTGAAGCCACCACTCAGAAGCTCCCAAGCAAACACAACAAATGCGCACATTGTATAATATTGGAAGGGAATGAGTAATATATTTTTCACATCTTTCAACATCTCACAAAAGGACATTTTATCATCTATTATACACACAAGCTCTACTGCCTTAAAGGGTGAACCCACCTCTTCTTTCAAACCAGTCTCTTCTTTCAGGGTTTCATCTACCACTTCCAAGGAGTCCTGTTTAGTCCGAGGCATGTCAGGTATGGTCGGAGAGACCTTCTTCTTTTCTTTGCTTGATCTGAAATGCCAAACATTCTTTACCATATGACAACCTTCTGTTCACAGTTGACTTAACCAAACATGTGACCTCCTTGGTTCAGTGCCTAGATCAAGATTTGGTGTGAAACAAAAGTCAGCAAATTAAACACAACTGATGCAGTATCAAAATATCTTCTCATGACTACAGTGCCATCTTCTCATGACTACAGTGCCATCTACGAAATACAGTAAATTAACCTTTTACAAATAACAAATAGATATAAGTTAAGCTGGTTTTATTGATCTGTCTTATTATTGACAGCAATTTCCGCTACTGATGACACATAGAAATAATCCAAGTGAAGATAACAAAGTTATTTTTTTATATTTTTTTCATTGTGATTTGGAGGAGGACCTTTTCTTTTTCCTTCCTTCTGCTGCAGGAGGTTTGACAGGTTCTGGAAGATCTACCATCAAAACAACTTCTGGGGTCCCCCCTCTGTGGACCTCCTCGGGATCACCCTTGGTGGCCTCAGTCTCAGATTCTTCCAACAGTGTTTCATGATCAATGCCTTCAGAAACTCGTCTGAAATATGCACTAAAAATGTATTCTGTTAACGGTGTAATTTTTTTTTTTTTTTTATTATTGTGAATAGAGGCCTGCTTTATTTACAACAATGTAAGACTTAATGAATGTTCTCAATATTTAAATAATTTTTTAAAAATCTTGTGTGACTCCTTCACTTCTTCAAGTTCTTATGCATTCAAAATAAATTCATTGTACTGTATAAAGAGTTAATTCAGGGGATATGGGCTTTATCATAGGTCAGTTGTTCATAAGACACTCCATTATGCATCAATTTCATTTCTGATTGCCCAAACAATAATCAGTCTTGATAGGTTATCATGCACGCTAATCAATAATTATACTTTGAGCAGATGGAACTGAATGGCTATTTCAATTATCATCACTTCCAAATCAAAAGCTTATAGTGGATAACAATACCTCAATATGCTTTCAAGTGTGAGATGATGTCACGAATGACTGAATTGTATATTTTTTGTGATCACTCAAGCACATAAAAGGATTTATCTATGGTTAAAAAAAGCTACAAAAATTAGGGGACCAAGGAGGCATGGGCCTCTCCTGAGTATGCACCACCAGCCAGGTGAAGCATATAGAATAATATATAAGCATACAAAATAGACATATATAACATGAGGCCATTAAAGAGCATCAACAATTTGGTCATTTCTTCTTACTATAATTACTCTTAAAGGTCTTTCAAACAGCATACTATTTCCATTTCACCAGGCTTAGGTGATTTATATCACCAAGTATAACACACCTTTTGCTATGTTCTCTTTTCTCATTCATGGCTGTGGCAAGAGGGGGACTTCCAAAAACTGGAGGTGGAGGACCTATACAAAAAAAGAAGGAAAAAACCATTCATTATAGTAAGTTTGAAATGCATTCCATTTGTTTAGCTATAACGTAGGTAATAGATTTCTGTGGTTTTCCAGTCTCATTATAGAGCTTTCCCATTGGTGAAGGGAGGGGGGGAGGGGGGGGATATCAACATCTCTTACCACTTTCTGGTGGTGTATGCTTCTAATTTTACCATCATGGCTCTTAAGTTATAATGAACATCTTGTTATTAAGCAAAAGGTTACACAGAACAGGCAAAACATAGCAAGAAATGCTCCAATTTTCTTGTCATTCTACTATGTTTAACCATTTGAAAGTAAGTAGGAAGGTAAATCAGTATATTGCAACTTTATTTTCTCCTCAACCTTAAGATCATAGCATATGTGCAAAACAGATCAGTGCATGTGTATTGAAATTGTCTGCATAATTAAAACATTCAACATACAGAAAAAAAGCATGGTGCTTCTCTGAAATTCATATTATGGTGATTGGGATTATTAATATTGCACCTCCATCAGCTGTGACAGTAACTATGCACCTTCACGCCTTGTCATCTTCACACCTATCATCTTCATCTCATCTTTCCTCACATTAACACTTCCAGAAATATCACTGTCACACCTCATAGTTTCACTCTTATATTTTCATAAATCACACCATTATCACTCACTTATGCAGTCACACAAATCTAAATTCAGGGGCGAATCCGGAGATATTTTCTGATAGTCCTCTAAATTATCTTTGTTGATCCATCCTCCATTTTTGACCAACTTCCGACAGAAAAAAATCATATTCCTGTCAATGTAAACTTCAAAATCTGACTGTCTTCCAGAAGACCCAGAAGACAGCCTCAATCCGCCCTGAAACTGCCACACTTTAAAACACTGTCACTCTCACCAATTCTGGTAAATTATAAAACCTCTCATAACTATTATACCTCCACCAGAGTTAAGATAAGTGGCAAACTATATGTAAAATAAGTGATCATTTTTGCTAGAAATATTCAAATGGTTGCTGTGTCCCATCATGCAATCTGTTATAAAACTGACATATTATTGTCAATGTGCTATCTCATCATGAGAGTCATATAGGGTGAGTATTGGGTATAAATAAAGACCAATACTTCAGGTGACTTTGGTAAATGTAGCAAGCAAAGCAGTTTGATATCATACATTATCTATTGACGCAAAACTCTCTCTGTCTCTCTCTCTCTCTCTCACACACACACACACACACACACACACACACACTGTTATTTCCCATTTCACGTCATGTTCAAATTTTGAAAATGTTACACAGCCTAGCCTGTTTCATTGCACTGTAATCAAGATAAAGTCATGTAAGTCACAAATAAAAAATTTAATGTATAGTGTTCATCAAGAAACAAATATAGAATTATTGTCTCAACTTTTCAATCCAAAAAGTTACAATTTTCATCTGATTATAGCACAAACATGTGCTGACATGATGTGAATCTAAATATACAATGATAACACTTTTTAAGATGAAAACTAGACAACAAAGCTGTCCAATGTACAGACCAATTTCAGTAACAAAAATTGTTTAAAAGTCGTCTGTATCTGGTAAAACACAAATAAATATCCTGTGAATTTATTTTGCTGCATAAAATGAGGGCAAAGGGAAATGGTTTGTGGAAGATGTTGTTTACTTGCTCCTATATGTGAGTGCTTGAGATAAGACAATATTCCAAACTTTCACTTTAGTGCTATGAATCACTTCATTAAAGGGATAATAACTCTTCGTATGATATCTATATTTCACAATAAAAACATTGTGAACAACTCATAGAAATATAATATATTCTGTTGTACAAGAAAAATGGCAGTTATAGCTATTATTCTGATATCTTAGCTTGTCTTCAGAGCACGTGACCTCCATTGATAGCTATACTCTGTTATAATCTCTTAAGAGATTTTAACAAAAAACCAAACTTTTTAGAAAAAAACCAGGGACCAACTTTGAATGTAAAAATGGATTCATTAACCATTGGTAAGTATGGGAAAATTGTTGTTTACTCCAGGAAAATTCATTTTTTGGCCAAAACGAAGAGTTATTATCCCTTTAAGTACAAAGAAAATAACTGACATGATTTTAACCTTACTTGCTTTGAGATGGATTCATGGCTAAAAAAATTAAAAAGAAATTCATGAAATTTTCAGTATCAAGAATCAGACCTGTATGATAGAGGAAAATAAAGCCATGGTTTTTCATTTTCTGCATTATGGAATGCACAACAAATACTTGTATGCTGGGGAAAAAGAGAAATTTGTATGCTGGGAAAGGAGAAAAAAATTACGACTTTTGCCTAAATGGTCTGACAAATCCAATATATGCTCATGTCCTGTATTTTTTTAATGTTACAAATCAGCCTGGCCAGTTTGTGGAAAATAAGTCACATGGTTATCTATCTCATGCTTAAAAATTTTTTTCAGTGACAATGACAAATGCAGGTAACAGCTATATGTCCAGACACACTGTGTCTGTACATAAAAAAAAAAGACAAAGAAAAGATGGAAAAATTTGCCCATCAAACAATAAGCCTGATGCTGTAGGAATGCTTTAGTTGTGCCATTAGAAGTGAGCCCAGCAAACACAATCACATTAGTATGGAATGCATAGACTGCTCTAGTTGTGCCCCAGCTAACACAGTTTACCTGCTGTGGCTCCCATGGTGCTCCCAGGCTCTGAAGAAATGCAGTGCAATATGGCATGTTCAAGCAAGTGCATTACTAATATGGGCAACTATGCTAAAGCCCAACAAGATGGCCTTAAGTTCTGAGGCATCAAATCAAATGCTTCTGTTTAAACAAAAATAATAGCAAGCTATGTCCTCATAGAATGTTTTTCTTGTAAGCAAGCAAAATATGATGTTGGTTTTAATAGAAAAGCAAGTAATACAAGGTGAAAAGTTTGCATGACAACTATGATAAGCATACAAATTAAAATTAGCTACAGTTCTTTAGAAAATAAACCCACATGCTGCATTTACATGCAAAATTCGGGATCATGTTTTCATATCAACAGGTTCAATTGTTAGGCTAACTACAAATTAAAGGGATGACAACTGTTTGTAAGTTATCCAATAAATGCATTGTAAACAGCTCATAGAAATATAATAAATTCATTTTCAATGCAATTACTCTGGAATTTGTGCTTGCCATCACATCACATGACCTCCATAGATGGCTACACTATGTAATAATCTCCTAAGAGAATATTACAGAAAACCAATCTTTTTAGAAAGAAACCAGGGACTAACTTTGAATGTGGGAATGGATTCATTATCCATTGGTAAGTATGGGAAAATTGTCCTTTACCCCAGGAAAATACATTTTTTTGGCCAAAATGAACAGTTGTTATCCCTTTAAGCACAACTGAAAAGTGATTATGTTCAAAGACTTATGGCTTAAACAGAAATACTTTCCCAGTGGCCAAATTTATATTAAACAAATTCATTGCATAAAAGGTTTCTTCCGAAATGTTTATCTCTTCAGGCAGTTCTCTACAAAATTACTGCCGTAGAATTTCACCTTGCTGACAAGTTTATCAACCAGTCTCACTGACCATAAACTTTCTGGGATACATAAGCTTTTGGTGAAAATATGTATAAAAGAAAAAGTTAAATCCACACAAAAACTACATATAGTTTACCTTCTGTAGATACAATGGGGCCATTCAAGGGGCCATTAAGAGCTTCTAATAAATTGATGGCCTCATAACCAGGTGGAACACCTTCTTGGCTCACAGGGAATTCCTCCGATTCCTGGCTCTGTAATAAATAGAATTAATTTTCATTTTTATTATTATTGAAACAAAATATTATCACAAATCCATGTTAAGGTAATAAAACAATTACTCAGAACCTGTTATCTTTGATTCCATACAACTGTGTCACTACATTTATTGCAGAATTGTCAAAAAATGCATGAACCAAGTTTATTCAACAACACTTAGAATATACAAGGTGCACACAACTTAAAATGCACAACATTCAATACATAAGGATGACTTTGAACAAGGTGTTTTCTCTTTAACTATACCTGTGCATGACAACCGGAATGTTTCTTCCTTAATGCTCTTATTTGCAGCAAGGCTCGGAAAGGAGCCCTACAAATGGGACAGTTATTGGCTTGGTAGCGCAGAGAATCAGCACAATTATTACACAGACACAAATGACGACAGGGCAGGATCAGGGTGTCTCTCATGTCAGACATACAAATGACACACTCAGACCCGTTGTCCTCCCAGTCTTCCTCTTCAGTCTCAAGCTGAAAAAGAAAAGAAGATTACAACTTTCATTTCTTCTCGTTCACAACATTTGTTCTATGCAATCTCAGTTATGGTTTAGGAGACGTCCCATATAAAAGAGTAAAACTTTACAGCCTTTAATCAATAAGAAACATTCTAATCCTTAGTGAATCTAATTTCTATTTCTGTAATTTATGAATAATCTCTCAATAGGTTTCATTCATCATTCTTTCCCAAGTGTTTTACATGCCATGTATGAAGTACATGCTAAATGTCCACATGTTCTGCTTATCTGATATTTGCCAGTGATAATCCATGTTGTAAAAGTTTTTACGGCTCCCATCAGTTACGAACAGATCTACTCACCTTTGAGCGAGTTGTTTTGTTCTCAATGCCATAGATTTCCTGAAGCAAATAGCACAATCCGTCCACCATTTGTTTCTGTTTCAGAGTCTTGATGACATAACCATCACACGTCTTCTCAAGCACAGCAAATGTGACATGGGCATGACCAATGTGATCTGGAGTGTGCCAGAGAGAAAATAATTCTACATGGTAGTAACCTGCTAATATCCCAGATGAAATAACAATTTTCTTCTTTAAGAAGTTACAGAGAGATAATGAAGTGATGTTTTTTAAAAACATTCTTCACATTTTTTTCATTATCATTTGTCTCCTGGCACAATTACTTCAAGTACATTCAGCACTATTACAGTATATGCTACCGAATGTCAAACTATTTCCATTTTACCATTATGATTTATGACTATTTACAATGGCAAAGAGATTACAGACCTTCATCTTCAACCACACAGTGTATAACAATAGGTATGATATCCTTCTCTGGGACATACTGCCACTGAACAAAAAGACAATGTGCAAGGTGTGAATATAGTGTTGCATCTCCATAACTGAAGTCATATTCCAAGAAATGTTCAAAAACATGGTTTAAATTATTATTAAATTCTTTAGAATTATCTTTCAATAAAGCATTTATACTTCTATAAATTACCTTGTTATCAAATCATAACCAAAATATGCATCTTACTTCTTACCTAAAAAATAATTAATCATATTCAACCAATAATTTTAAAACTATCTATGATTTGTAACAGATAGTGTCTAGAACTCACATCCTCCTCTGGGAATGCACTGGGCTGTATAATGTGTGTGGATTGACTGAAGACTTGGTTGGCACCACGTTTATAGTGGAAGGTTTCAGAGTTCATACTAGGATCCCTGGGATAGTATCTGGCAAAAAATGGGATTTATATATATGAATATATGATATTAAATGCAACATAAGAGTAAACTTACTACAATTCACTCACTGAATTCTGCATTTAAGAACAAAAGTGCTGATAACTTTCATTTTTAAAATGACAAAAGTGAAAACTAATACAGATAAAGATAAACTTTACTGCAACTTATGCACCAGAGGCATCTGGCAACAATTTACTTTATAGATATAAATACTGTTACTATACAGTACATTACAGAAGATATAAAGAGTACTTACACAGCCTGTCCATTAGTGATTTCCTCAGTGGCAAAATGATAGACTGTAACTGCACATTTCACATCAGAATCAAAAGTGAACTCAATGTTATATTTTGGACTGCCAGCACACTCCTCACTGTTTGTGCCGTCTTCTTTTCTTCCATCACTCCCTTCTGCTAAACTAGGAGCTGATGAACCACCTATAGAGCCTTTCTCGGAGGCCTCCACACCATCCTCAGTCACTCTGTGATAAATCAAACAGGCCATTGTGCGTTCAATAAAATATAAATACTTGATTGTCACTCTTACTGCACTGTGAATAGAATTTCAGATACAGTCAGATAATACTACATAATGCAGTTGCTGATGACAATAACTAGACAAGAAGAGAGATTAAGAATATCAAAAACAGTTCAACTTTTCACAGTATATGTAAGATAATATCAGCTTTGTTACCCACACGCACAAACACACACCCTGATATCATACATATCAAGATATAATATATTTATATACATATAGATGAAATACCAGGTCTAACCTTATCAATCTCAAGGAATCTTTTCTTATGTTGACCAAGCTGCGAAGGGTCTTTGTTGGCTCTCCTGGTTGAGGAGCAGGATAGGGAAACTGAAATAAGTACAGCAGCCACTTTTATAAATTATACATTCAAAATATCATATCATATCATACATATGAACACTGAAATACAACATTATATATAGCGCACGCACACACACACACACACACACACACACACACACACACACACACACACACACACACACACACACACACACACACACACACACACACACACACACAC